GAAGTATAATTTGGATCGCATAATGTGAATTGACTTAAAACCAACAAATTATTATTCAATAACATGCTTAATTACCCTTCCCGTTCCCCCAACATTCCTAAGTTTAACTATGATATTTATAAGGTCAATGCATCGGGTGTTTTACCTAAGTTTCACTTTGTTAAAGTTAACTTCTTTGCCTATACGAACAAGTAAAATATATCAAAGAACTAGATTAATTTGTATTCCCATGACAACTCAAGCAAAGCCCATTTTAGAGTCATGGACTATAATTATGACTTAACCAAATTTGTGTAATTTTAAAATGTATTGTCTGGATTCTCTTTAGGCTTGAAGTTGCCATTCTCAGGTTATATTGTTAACAACACCAATTTTGTAGAATGTGCCATTGGCTTTTGCAAGAACCCATTTGGACTCCTTGGGCCCTGAAACGGCGGTTGATGTGTGGATGAGGAATACGAAGTACACCTGTACTCTGTATGTCAAAAGGGACCAAGGAGGCGTAATTAGGCTATGCAACATCAGGAATGGAATAGCTGCCATAATCCGGGAGTGGGAGATTATGAACGAGAACGAAATTGTGGTAAAGCTGAGTTCAAAATCTCCGCCGGCTTTCAAATTGTCCTTTGCGTAAACCATTATTGTTCTATTCAGATGTAAATGGGAAGTTGTATTTGGTTTACCTAGTAATGCTACATTAGGTCGTTGTAATATGAACTCTGTTAAATTAGAAGTGTATTTTGTGTCGACTATATAATAACTGAAAAAGTCTATTATCATAATTTGGGTAACAATGGTCAATATGATGTGCTAATTGTGCATGTCGTGATAGAGTGGAGATAAATAACGCTGAAGTGGGTCATAAGTTTAAGTTTAGTAAACTATAACTAAATAATATTCAGAATTCCAAATTTTTAAACTAATAAGTAATCTGTACAATTCATAATAAGCATATTCCAGAAATAATTTACTTAATTATGATTATATATTACTCCGTAATAAATTTGATATTGTTAAACCGTTCTTTTCATTATATATGTGTGAAGAAATCATAATAAGTAGTAAAATTAAATATAAATATTATTTTGTAACTGACACACGCATCAGATTAAGTTGATATAGTAGAACGTTTTTTTTTTTATTTGTAGGGTTAATTATTTTCGTAACTATGCTGCCTAAAACAAACTATCTAGTTTAGAAAACAAACTATCCTAACTGTGGACAACCGTCACTCATGACATATATTCCGCAGGATACCCTTGCTATTCTACACAAAATAGGTAGGTGTTACTTTTAGGTAGTAGGAAATAATTAAAGTGTATATCATATCAACTGAAGTAGCGTGTTACCAAGACTATATTCAGTAGGATAGATGTTTTCTTCAGCTGAAACTATGACACAAATCCGTCACTACTATTTCCTTTTCAAACTTTGACAGCCTACTTACTATTGCGTTCCGTCAGCCACGCCCTATATTCAGCAGGATATCAATGACATATAAAACAAAATACATAGGTGATAGTTGTAGTTAGTAGGCAAGAAATGGCTTGTGAAGAAGATTGTATTCAGTAGGATCAGCACCGTCAAAAACCGAACCGAACCGATCCGAGTAAACGTTAAACCGTTTAAGATCCGAACAAAATCTAAACCAAACTTAGAGGAAACAGAACCAAACTTTTAAATGGTAGAATTGACTAGTAGATTAGTACATAAATACAAATTACTTAATTAGATATGACTACATGAGTGATTGACTAATATGACTATACGAGCAATTGTCAATTTAGCATAGTTGCATAACATATTAATTAACAGTGTACTAGACCATCCTACTCGGTAATATACTAATAGCATTTCAGTATGTGATCTATTAGACTCAAGTTAAAAGTTACTCTTTCTTATTAACGAGTCTTGATTAACAGTCTTGTTGACTAATTATTTTAACCGAACTGAAACCGACCCGGAAGACTTTTGAACCGATTTCAAACCGACCCGATTTCAAACGGAACCGAGTTCAGTACCGAAACGAAACCGAACTGTCAAACCGTTTTGACAGTAATAAGTAGGATACAAACTTCCTTAAGTACAAACACATGGGTCTTTGCGTGATTACCTCAAAGTATAGATTTTGGTGAGCCATGGCTATTTCTGAAAATTAAAATTAAACAAAATTCAGTAGTTGTTGTAGTGATGAGTGATGACTACTCCCTTTGTGGTATTATTTTTTCCCCAATGCCCATTTCCTTTACAGTTTAATCCTTCATGAGTTTTTACCCTTATCTTAAAATCTTGATTCGTAATTTTGATTTAGAACCACTTAATTAATTTGTTACACATTATACTTTCCAACTTAACTAATTACAAGCATATACGTACGAGGATATAGTTTCGTAGAGGACATAGTTATTACTAACTTAAGTACGTTAGTGGAGTACATCACCGCATTCACGGGGCATGTGTATGCCTATTTATTATACGTGAATGTATCAGTTTTATGTGTAATTGAGTTTGTCGATGGACTATCTAACATGCGTTAAGTATATATTGCATTAACGTATATACTCTTCATATTGAGCATTTTGCATGTTGTGTAGCCGTGTACGGTGAAAATGGTTTCCTAAAATGAAAATCAAATAACCTAAGATAAAGTTGGACTGCACTATTGCGTTGGTAGTGGAGCTTGTACATAATCCAGAAAATGGAGGTAAACATTCCCGCCAATAAGATATCCCGCCAAATTACATGAAGGCCCTCAGCATGTGGCAAAAGGCTATTGGGTAAAATGACATATAAATATACATGCCTCTGTGAAACCATTTTGCATATCCAGAAAAACCCATGTGTACATGATCACCATGCCTTCAACACCAAGAACTATGCATACCCTATCACCCTTAGGACGACCTCATCCTCACACAATTCCAACCAACTCCAACCGTACCACTCCAAAGTCAAACAAAAAAACACCGATTCGAAATAGGAGGTTTCATAAGAAAAACAGCCTTCTGGCTACGATACTCAGTCGGAATGCCATTAGGACCCTCCTGAAGCATAAGGTTGGTATAGAACAACCACTCCCTAAAAAGGGAAAACTGAAAGAACAAGTGGATGCTGGCTTAGCATTGACACGGTCAATTGAGGCCATCAACAGAGCTAGGTTGCAGCTGGAAGATCCTTCTGGAACAGAATTAAGTGTTCCTTTGATGGGGGATGATGTCTCTGAGCCCTTAGAAGGTGAGGGGCCACCTCCCTTAAACCACACAATCCTTGTTAAGAGTAGGCAACGTCATGATACAGGCATTACCTATGAGATAAGAGATGATGAAACCTTTGAATTCATATACGAGGATTATTCATCACGAGTTGATGTTTCAGTCCATGAATTACTTATTAAGAAGCATGGCTTGTTAGTGGCACGTACTGCCACAGCCACATCAGCCAGAATTAAGACCAGAGATATACTATATGTCTGTGGTGTGGTACGAGTTATTTATTGCAATGCAGTCCATACAAAATATTGTTGTTATGATTGTTCATATATATTTCAGTATATACATGTTCAATGTCGTGATCTTTGACAAATAATAACGGAATATTGGTTTACCAAAAATGCCAGGATCCCTCGAAGAACATGGACACAAGAAGGAAATTTTTTACATGCGCAACACTTGCACACCTATCCATGAAGTGAAGGTGCAATGCAAGCTTACTTCAAAGCTTAGGAGGCTATGCTTCAAGTGGGGTGAAGTGGTGGGCAAGGAACCTAATACAATAATGCTTCTACACCAAGATAGAAAGTTAAATAGAGTGCTCACAGTTGGTGAGGCTGGCATAAAGAACCTAGACTACGTATATGCTTGTCCTGAAATTTGACGTTAGTAGTTGTTGTCGTAGGCAACTCTAATTTATGTTAGCCAACAAATACAGGTGAAATTAACGAACGTAATGTGGTTATTTTGTCACTTTTTTAGCCACATTCTCTTAAGTCTCTAATCAATACCCCTTTTGGTGTAGTTTAGTACTGGGATAGTTGCTTTGTTTTTTATTATTACTAGGTTGCAAAGTCGTCATCAATTTATAACTATTGGCTAACTTGTTTTATATTATGGTACGTACCGTCGATCTTTTGAACTATATGAATGAAATGTTAGTATCAAGTTAGACGTAGTTGTATTCATTCACCATTTTACTTTTGGTACTATCAAATGTAATATATTAGAAATTCTTTATCCAATGTTCTTTCAATTGCAAATTTTATAAAATAAACAGATAACTTGGGCCAAATAATACCTCCAATGGTTTCTCCATTGTGAATTTTAAAAATAAAGAGATAACTTGGGCCAAGTAATTTACCCCCTCCTGGTATTTCAATTGTAAAATTTGTAAAAATAAAGACATAACTTGGCCCAATTAATTTACCCCCTTTTGGTCTTTCATTTGTAAAATTTTTAAAATTAAAGAGATAACTTGCCCCAAATTATTTACCCCCAAAACAGTTCTATTAGTTGCAGAGTTAAAATTGGGCGAGCCCAAACTAACTTATAACATTATAAACCCAATCTTGAACCAAAAACATTTATTTCGATTGCATGCAATGCACCATATGCTTACATATTGTATCACAATTCAACAAGTTCTGATCCAGTGGCTATCCTACGATTTCGAATTCTACCATTATCCTACAATATCAAATTCGTTCCTATGTTTACCAACTCATTATCTTGGTCATCAAACGATATCAAATTTGATCTTTTATCTCTCGTTTTAATGGTACTTTATAAGGTTTCAAGTAAAGCCGGACTTCATACCACACTTTCAATCACTGAAAATAGGATCAAAAAGGGTACTCTAAGTATGGCACTTACACTTACTTTTATCTAAGAACAAGACCAAACATTATGACATAAGGGATAATATACTTCAACGTCATTAGCACATCTAATACAATGCGTGGGAAACAACTACACGCCCAAACATAAAGTAATTAGGCTTGATGAGTATTAAGTTCCTTCGTGAAAGTTCAATTCGTGATCACTAGTCCACCCCTGGGTGGAGATGTTGAGCTCAAAGTCATCACATGGAACATCATCAGCAGGAGCAGTTGCGAAGAACTCCGCGTACGGGTTCGGATGTTTCCTCCTTTTGACCTACAACCAATCAACCATTATGAATGAATTGCCGAACTAAGATAGCATTTTGACAGATACAACAAGCAATTTCCATACCGGCAACTTAGTTGCTTGGAGTGATTCATCTACGTATCCTACATGTGATTGTTTCTGGGCTCTCTATCAAACAAAAAATCAATTACATTACCAAATACGGCCAAAGTCATTGAATGAAATGGATGCACCAAAACAAAACCATAGTGGGCAGTGGCACCGTACACATACCTTAGTGTTTTTCCCTTTGGCTGCGTTGTATCCTAATTCAGCCAACGTCTTGTTCCTTGATCCCTTTGGCCGACCTCTAGGCCTCTTTTGATTGACTGGGTTTTGTATAAAATTTCCTGAACTTTTTCCTCCATCGACATTACATTTCTTAGATGCAGACTTAGGAGTGCCTTCTGGTGGAGGTGGATGTGATGACCCTATTTCTGATCCAGGGCCATTTGTAGACATGACCTTTGCACGTTGCTCATTAACTTCAGCTCGGATCTTCAACACTACTTGTCTCACTAGCTCAACTGTTTCGTCATCAACGGCGGCTGCTTCATCACACAATGCCTCAAGGTCTGGAATTAGCTTGTTCCATCGCACACATTCATCTGTTTCAGTAGGGTCATGGTATGCAACTTTGACGCGAGTGTGCTTCCTCAACACATCCTTTCGCCACCGATTAAGCACATAGTTCGATGGAATTTCAGTGACCAAGTTTTCATCCCACACTCTAATGATATGCTTACAAAGAATCCCATCCTTTTCAAACTTCCTACAGTCGCATCTAATATGTTTACTGACCGGGTTAAAATTAAGTGTGTAAAACCTCCTGGAATCAGTTATTATTTCCTCATTTGTACCTTCTCGAATAACCCAAACGCGATCCAAAACCAAGTACTGAATTTCAACTTCACTGATAATTTTCTCCTCCTTGATCTGAACATATAACAACCTAGCACATTCCTTTTGAAGTTCTTGAAACTTCGAATCAGTATATATTTTTTGAAAATACCTTTCCACTTTGAATCCACTCACAAGTCTTCTAATGTACTTGGAATCCCTTGCATCAGCATCTTTCTCATCCGCAACCCGCTTCTTCATCGCTCTGTTATATTTTTCAGGAAACTCGAATAGTTTTGTTTTACGGGTGACAAAGCAATCGAAAAATCGGTTAATACTCTCTACCCTCTGTGTAGTTTTCATACCCGCCCAAAAGTACTCTTTCATGTAGGTCGGCACCCACATGTGCCTCTAAATAAATAGATCTTGCAGCCATTCATTGTCCTCCAACCCATAGAGCTTCATTGATTCACACCATCGGCTTTCAAACTCTTCTACAGTGAAGCTGTCATATATTATATTCTTCAAAGGATTCTGGAAATCATCGTACCTGTCCTTGCATACAAACAAAACTACGGGTTGAGTTTTTCATAAACTCAGCAACACTAATCAAATTCTGGACAACAGTGTATGCTAAATAAAATAAACACAACACCATGGATTGATCAACAAGCATTCCTGTATAATGAACAATACTACTTGTAACGGCATGAACAATCACATAAAGACCAACGACAACATTAGACAATAGTGAAATTATCTTAGCCTCCTGCAACAATGCCTTAAACCACCCAATTGTGTTGTACATCTTAACTACAACTGACAGCGCAAATTAAGCCAACAAATACAACTCACAACTTACAACACACATCTTTAACCTATAACAAATATTGAATGAAAATGTACCAACGTAGGCAATACTTACAAGGCACACTTGCCAAGTTTCTCTGGAAATTTCCGCATAATATGCCATATACACCATCGATGTCGTGTGTTAGGCATCACTTCAGCTAAGGGCTTCCGCATAGAAGCTGCTTGATCGGTGAGTATGGCCTTTGGAGCTTTATTACCCATACAAGATACCCACTGTTCAAAGATCCATCTGTATGTATCACAATCTTCAGCAGAAATGAGGGCACAACCTAACAGAATAGACTGGCCATGGTGATTAACCCCGACAAAATTTGCAAAGGGTAGCTCATACTCATTTGTTAAGTACGTGGCATCGAAGCAAACCACGTCTCCAAAGTCCTCATAAGCAACTCGACTCCTTGCATCCACCCATATGACATCTTTTAACCGACCTTCATCATCCAACCTATTTGCATGGTAAAAATTCTGATTATCTGCTTGCATGTAATCAAAGTACTCCATCATGGCTCGTGCATCTCCGCCTGCCATCTTCAGCCGCCTTTGCTTGTACACTTCATGCTGAAGATCCTTAACACTTGGCAAGCTTCCATTCTCAGTGCCTAAACAACCGCGAATTTGGGTCACGGTGAAACCTTCATTAAAAAAATTTATCAACCTCCTTCGTACCGTTGAAGTCAACTTCTTCATGCGATACTCTTTAACCAAATTTTCCATGCTAGGACATAGAGTGTGAGTATGCTCCAACACAACGGTTTTCAAAGTCCACAGGCCATCAACGTTTAAACTCCCATAAACCCTAGCATTGCACTCACATTTCTTCGATTTACGTTTTCCATGTTTAAGCTCTACCTCCCCTATAGCCCCATTCACATTGCCAAGACTTCCCCCAACTTCCATGTACTTTTCCCTTTTCTTTGCCTCACGCTTCGCCCTCATGTTGGGTGCACCCCAACATTCGCACCTCCAAAATATTCCTCTTCTCTCTTTTGTACTTGTGTATGATCCTTGCACTCTAGTAACGCCAAATCCACAATGCTCAGCATATGTTTTGTAGAACAACTCAATTTCCTCCCAAGATTTAAAGAGCATTCCAACTTTTGGAGGCGGAGCACAGTTAACCCCACTCCCCTTATTGGTACAAACTTTACTCTCCAATGTCTGAATTGTCATTGGACAAGGGCATTCAGTTGGATTGCAAGTTTTGTCATTCGTAAACAACGTAGATGTATTACTTTCAACTGCCTGAGCCAAGGTTATTACCTCCAACTCAACTGCATTCACATCCTCATATTCTTCCTGCTCATTTCCATCTATACCAATCTCCATCAAGGAACCAACCTCTTCACAGTCCCTTGGAAAGGTACTGAGGCTATCTTCTCCCAAATCAGACATCTTACCTAACACTTACTACCACATATATCATGCAAAGGTCACAAATGCTGGACGAGTACACAACACAATGCACTACAACACACAATAATCATAATCCCAACTGAATGATTTCAGAACCCACTGCATAATTTCTACAATACAAAATCAAAACAACAAAATATATCAAATTAATCAACAGAAGGGTCCAATTCCAAAGTAACCCAGTACCAATTAAAATTGGGTCATAATTAATCAACTATGGTGAAAATAATCTAACCTTTACCAAATTCAAACAACGAAATATATCAAATTAAGCAACAAAGAGTGCAATTCCACAGTTACGCACAACCAATTACCAAAAAATGGACCCATAAGTAAAAAAAAAAAATCAAATCAACTATGGTGTAAGTAAACTAACCTTCAACAAGAACCAGAATTAAACAAACGCCGTAAACTGGGCACACGTACACCACTGAAGACGAAAACAACAGACTCCAACCACGAAGAAGACGGCCAAACCACCATTCTCGAAGTTCTTTGTTACTGTGAAAATGCGATTGTGAGAGAGAGTGAGGTATATGGACTATTTCAAAAAGAAAGCAAATTAACGCTTCAAACGTCTGTCACGCCGTCTGTTAACGGCAAAGTGGGCCAACAATTACAACAACTATTTTTTATTCAACTACTGTTACGTGGCAGCATAAGGTTGAAGGGATAAATTTTGAGTGTTGATCCCAGAGATTAATGGGGCACCGCTCTTTATAATGTCATAATGACTTTTATTTCAATATGATAACCTTTATTTTAACTAGGGCTTTCAACGCACGCGATGCGTGCGGTATGGCTAGCCCTTTGAGAAAGAAATATTAGTGTGGCTTTTTATGTCCTATGCCTATTTGCATGATATTTTATTATAACTATTTACCTATAGACGATAAATGTGTTGGATGTTGTGTAGTTGTATCATGTTCGAAATTTTTTAGTAAAGCTCCTTTGATTTAGCGAGGGAACAGTTAAAAAAATATTGAGTTCTAAAAATACAAATGTCTAATAAAATTTAAGTACTTGTTGAGACTAATTGAATAAATTAAACAAGACATCACACCATTATATACTCTGTAATTCTTGTACTCCATATATATATGAAAATTAATTTATACTACTTTTTTAAATAGTGTTTAAATTCTAAATAGAAAAAACAAAAAGAAATAGTGAGAGTAAAAGATAGCTTTAAATATAAAAATAACCTTTTTATTTATGAATCATTAATCAATTTAGGGGATTTAAGAGACAATTTTAAGGCTTTGAAATCTTGGGGGCAAATATGTAAAAGAACATTTTTAGGGATATAAATGTCCATGCACTATTCATAAGAGTTTTGTTATACTTTTGATAAGGTAGGTAGGGATATAGTGACTTTCTTTTTTTATTAATAAAACAACTATAATGGCTCTATTATTAGTGGTCCACAATAAATTAGTGTGAACCAGGTCCATTTAAGTGTTTGTATAGTTCAATTTATTTAAGCGAATACTCGGTATTAGTGTATTTCAGGAATAAGGATACATCATATTAGATTTTTCTCTAAATTTGAGTTTAGTTTTCGTTAAATATTTTTTATTTCTTTTTTTTTTTTTTTTTGAACAAAATTTTTGATTTCCTTATAAAAAAGAATTATGAGATGTGAAAAGTACATATTACTATAAATATATTGACATCTCACTTCATATGTTATTTAACAAATTAGTATACAAATAAGGTTAAAGTTTACTCAATTTTAAAGTTAGACCAGTTCTAATTAGATTAGAAAAATTCAAATCAGATTATGTAAACTGAACATACTCTATCTATCTATGCCTATTTTATTATGACTCTTTGAATTCTTTACAATGACATAATATCGTATATCAAGTTGAAGAAAATAGCAGAAATCTACATAATTATGTTTTTTATAGATCATCACCAAAATAAACAATGTATAAAATTTGAATAATATAAACTGCAAAAAGGAAGTAATCATAAGTCTCATCAAAATCTTCCTCTCCAACCTATTCACATTCTAATTTTTCATTAAATATTATTGAGTTCAACAAAATTGATACGAGTATCATGTTACATGCATATTTTCTTTTTTGTAGGCATCATGTTACATGCATATAATCACTATAATATTGTTTAGGCTTTTTTTTTTAGGCTGATTAAAGTTAAGGTAAAAGCTAATGAGCGTCCCCGAGGTATTAGATAAGAGAACTAAAAGTGAAAATATTAAAGTAAAATTAACATTAATTACACCGATCAATGCGTATTTTGTCATGCATTCCGAACTTAATACTATTTTCAGTAATATATTAAATAGTTATCTAACGTCCCGAGACACTTGTTAGCAAGATCCTAAAGTTAAATAAGAAATAGAGAATATACTAATACTTGAGAATACACTAATACTTGTTATTTAGGTCTAGATTATTAGAGAGACAGGCGAAAATCATGGAATACAAGTGAAAATAAGACAGCTGGGATGAATAAAGGCTGGGCTTAAGACGCGCTAACAGCATTGAAGCCGTTGTCAATTAAATAAGTGGGGCCCAATCTTCATTTAAATCTGGCCCAAACTTCTTTTGTGGGCCCACTTCTAAAGCTTCTTATTCGCTTTTTCTCCTAACATGTGGCTTCACTATGTTTCTCATCTATCATATGTTCGGTTGTTCACATATTTCCTTTTCAAAATATTTTTCATTTCAAAAATGACCATAATTAAATTCAATTAAAATTGTGTACAGAAATAAATAAATGACTATGATGCAGCTTTACATTAAATAATCATGTAAACATTTATCTTGAGGTATATTCATTATTTAAGTGTTTAAATTTATTGCAATTCATAGTACATTTTAAAATCGATTCTTTTAGTTATGAACATGAATGGGTAATTTACATTAGATAATCAAGGTCGGCTTAATGGCTGGAGGCGCTCCTTCGGTCTTTCCACCTATGTCGGAGGTGCAGTGCTTGATTCTCACCCTAAGTAAGTGGAATCCCAAGGATATTTTACAATATATTTCCAATAATGTTGACAATTCTTACATTAAATTTGGTAGTTAGAGCTTATTTTTAAAATCATGAAGTCATCTGTTTGTCATATT